ATCCTAGCTACTAAGGAGGCTGAGATCTGAGAATCTGAGGAGCCATAGCAAACAAGATGAAGAATAAAGATGGGCCAGGCCTGAATACTCGAGGTTTAGGAAATGGCCTCAAGCTGGAGTGGCTGGTAGGCAGGAGGCGGCAGCAGTATTGTGAGTTCCAGGTCAGCCTGGGCTACAGAGTGAACCTCTATCTCAAAATAAAGAAGAAAAAGGAAGACGAAAAAAGGCCTCAAGCCTGGGTCTCTTTATCACTCTTACACCTCCGTAGTTTACTGTTTGTGCAAACACAAGATCCAACCAGAGATTGGAAACCACATGTCGCCCCCCTGTGCCCACATGTGGAACTACACATCCTTGATCCCAATGAGTGGCCAACACTTCCTTCAGTCTGTTGTCCTTTGCGTGTTGCTCTCCAGATTTCTTTAACTGACATACATTCATCCATAAACCCAGGCTGCCATCATGCATCTGAAGGCCAGGCCGAGGCCCAACCCTCGGTGGGAAGGGCCAGGCCTGCTTTGCAGGTCCTCAGACAGTTTCATGGTAGCAATGAGCAGGGTCCTTTATCCCAAATATCCTCTCTTCCTCCCTCTCTTCCCTCCTCCTTTCCTTCTTTCCTTTCTTTATTCCCTCCTCCATCCCTCCCTTCTTCTCACCCTCCCTCTCTTTTCTTTCCTTCCTTCCTTCTTTTCCCCCTCCCCCTTCCCTTCTTTGCTTCCTCTCTGTCTTCCTTTCAGCGTGTATGGAGTCTGCAGTGGGGACACAGTGCAGAAGGAGCTTCAGAATGTCCCAGCAATATTTCATAAGTTTCAAGAAGAAGGCCACACACGAGTCCAGGTAGTAGAGGGACAGGCACACATCCCAACATAGGAGGGCCAGTGGGCATCAGGGTAACTTCTTGAATGGCTCGCAGATGAGGGGGAGCCTCACAAGGGAAGAGTGAATGAACCCCCAAACACCAGAAAGGTACCCATCAAGCCAAGAGGATGGGTGCAGGGGAGGAGAGCTGCTCCTACACACACACACACACACACACACACACACACACACACCAGTCCAGAAAAGAAAGCCAAGGCCAAGCCCATATAAAACAGGGATGACACTCAGGGGCTTAGAGTTCAGAGTGTTGGAAGCTTGTTTTTAATACTAAGAACTATAGGAGAACATCTATTCATTGTAGAAAAGTTAGAGAAAACCAGGTACCAGTGGCTTACACCTGTAACTAGCTACTCAGGAGGTTGAGCTCTAAGGCTAAGACGAACTGCAGTTCAAAGCCAGCCCAGGCAGGAAAGTCTGTGAGACTTTTCTCTCCAATAAATACTCAGGAGAAGACAGAAGTGATGCTGTGGCTCTTGTGGTAGAGTGCTAACATTAAGCAGAAGAAGCTCAGGGACATCACCCAGGCCCAGAGTTCAAGCCCCAGGACCAGCAAAAGAAAAGTTAGAGAATATAGACAAATAGACTTTATATTTTTTTAATTTTTTAAAAAATGTTATTGGAAAGATGATGTACAGAGGGGTTACAGTTACATAAACCAGGTACTGAGTACATTCCTTTTTTAACAGTGTCTACTGCCTCTCTCTCCCAATGTTCCTCTGCTGACCCCCAGAATATTACAAATTTTCCATGCTTGTAATCCCAGCAAGATCAAAGTTCAAGGCCAGCTCAGGCAAAAAGTAATGCCCTGCTGGGCACTGGTGGCTCATGCCTCTAATCAATCCTGGCTACTAGGAAGGCTGAGATCTGAGGATTGCAGTTCAAAGCCAGCCTGGGCAAGAAAGTCCACGAGACTCTTATCACCAATAAACAACCTGAAAACCGGAAGTGGCGCTGTGACTCAAAGTGGTAGAGCACTAACCTTGAGCATAAAAGCTCAGGGACAGCGCCCAGGCCCTGTGTTCAAGTCCTACGATGCGGGGGGGGGGGGGGGGGGGGGGGGAATGCAAGGGGGCGTGGCGTAAGACCCCATCTTAACCAATAAGCTGGGCATTGGTGGTGAGCATCTGCTACCCCAGCGGTGTGGGAGGGCTCAGGAGGAAGATCTCCATCTGAAGTCAGGAAAAAGCAAAGCATGGGACTCCACTGGAAAAGTAACTAAAGCGGAAAGGGCTAGAGGAATGATGGTTCAGCTGAAAGAGCACCTGCCTAGCAGAGCAAGGCTCTTGGTTAATCTTTGGATGAGATTGTTTTCTGTTGCAGCGGGCATTGTACCCACTGCTGGATGTTTTGGGGAACCTCAGCCTCTCGTAGCTACCAGAGGTTACCCCTTATACAACAATTGTGACAACAAATTGTCAGCCTCTCGTAGCTACCAGAGGTTACCCCTTATACAACAATTGTGACAACGAATTGTCCTCGGCCATCGCCAGATGTGGGGCAGAAATCGTCCCCCATTGGGCACCACGGGTCTGGAGGGTTTGTGGGCTTGTTAAGGAAAAGCTAAGCGGGAGCCCCGCTCTCCCTTCCCCAACTCCTCCCTTCCCGTCCTCGGGGCTGATTCTAGCGTCATTACTCCCCGTTCTCTCAGAGCCAGCCCTCTGCCCAGTTTTTGTTTTTTATTTTTTGCTGGAACTCAGGGCCTGGGCGCTGTCCCTCAACTTTTTTTTTTTTTTCTTTTTGTAGGCCATGGGGCCTGAACTCTGGGCCTGGGCGCTGTCCCTCAGCTCTTCAGTCCAAGGCTAGCGCCCTACTACTTGAGCCGTAGCACCACATCTGGCTTTTTTCTTTTTGCTTATGTGGTGCTGAGGAATCGAACCCAGGGCCTCATGCGTGCAAGGCAAGCGCTCTACCACTGAGCCACCTTCCCAGCCCCCTGAGTTTCTTTTGCTCAAGGCTAGTGCTCTACCACCTGAGCACCACTTCTGGCTTTTTCTGAGTGCTTAATTGGACATAAGAGTCTCATGGGGTTTTCCTGCCCAGGCTGGCTTCAAGCAGCGATCCTCAGATCTCAGCCTTCTGAGTAGCTAGGATTACAAGTGTGAGTTACTGGCACCTGGCTTACACCCAACTTTTAAAAAGTCATTTCCTCCCCCACTTACTTAGCATCTATTTACTAGCTGTCTACTAGGATGCTCTCAGCCTGAGATGAGGATGTAAACAAGCCAAGTTCCTTCTCCACAGGCCTCCTCTTCTCTTTCCTTCCCCCTCCCCTCTCTGATTTCCTCCTCCTACTCCCCCTTCCTCCTCCGCTTCCTCCTCTCCTGTCACCAAAAACAAAGGTTTGTTGGTAACCACAAAACATACAGAAAAAGTGTCTATCCACACAATTCAGCCTTCAGAAAGGGGAAATTCTGTCATATGTTAGAGGAGAGATGCATCTTAAGGGCATGAGGTTAAGCAAGGCAAACTAGCCGCAGAAGGGCAAGTAATGCATCATCCTGCTTATGCGCAATGTTTAGCAGAAGTCAACAAATGTGTAGAAGCAAAAAAGCAAAATGGCAGTAGCCAGGGGCTCAGTAAAGTGAGGGAAGGAATTGTATTCACTGGGTTTGGAGTTTGAGAAAGTTTAGAGTTTGAAAACGTTCTAGAGAAAGTTCTAGAGGTCTGCTTCAGTGTACCTATCCTGAACAGTTTTATAAGGTACAAAGAAAGCTTTGCTAAGCAGAAAGATTTCATATCAAGCATTAAATGCTGCTGGCCATGATGTGTGCTAAACCAGCATGGATGAGTCCTGGAACCCAGGTAGTCAGACTTCTTTTTCATGCCATTTCTGGGGCTTGAACACAAGACCTGGGCATTGTTGCTGAGCTGTTTTTGCTCAAGGCTAGCCCTCTACCACTTAAGCCACAGCTCTACTTCTGGCTTTTTGGTGATTCATTGCAGATAAGCGGCTCATGAGACTTTCCTGCCCAGGCTGCCTTTGAACTGTGATCCTCAGATCTCAGCCTCCTGCTGGGTTTGCAGGCATGAGCCACCAGTGCAGGACAGGAAGCTTGCTTTCTGATGAGGTTGCCTGACCCACAGGGCACAAAGCACCCTTATCATTTTGTGATGAGGTGATTAAAAACAAATTTCCATTCCCCATTTTTAATTACTGATATAACTTTAAAATTTCAAATTGTTTTAGAACATTATTTGAAAGAGATGACATGGTGTCCCTGGGGCAAAACTGCTCCTGGTTCCCTGTCCCCACACCCCACCAGGCAGCGCCCCCATCTCCGTGGGACTTGGGGAGAGGCCCTGCCCCTGTCCTGTTATATCCCTCAGGAAGTACACCAGAGTGGGGACAAGTGGGTGATCAGAGCACCAGAAGAGGGAGGAGGAGGGAGCTGAGCTCTGGGCTGGGCCTGGGGCCTCCTAAGCTCCATGGACTCCCTGGTATTGAGAATGACACCCAATCTTACGCCTTGAACCAGCAACTCACCCCAAAAACAAAGGAGGAGGAGCTTAACTCAGTCACAGACTCAAAGCCACCAGCCACCAAAACCCAGACTTAAAAAAACAAAAACATGATTTTGAAAAAACATGTTATTAGACCCAAGGGTTGGTAGCACACGCCTGTAATCCCAGCTACTAAGGAGGTTGAGATCTGAGGATCGCAGGTGGAAGCCAGTCTGAGCAGGAAAGTCCATGAGACACTTACTTCTGTTTAAGCACCAAAAAGCCACCAGTGAAGCTGTGACTCAAGTGGTAGAGTACCAGCCTTGAGCAAAAACAAACAATAAAAACAAATAAAGGCCGGGCGCCCGTGGCTCACCCCTGTAATCCTAGCTACTCAGGAGGCTGAGATCTGAGGATTTCGGTTCAAAGCCAGCCCGGGCAGGAAAGACCGTGAGACTCCTATCTCCAATAAAACCACTAGAAAACCGGAAGTGGCTCTGTAGCTCAAGTGGTAGAGCGCTCGCCTTGAGCTGATGAGCTGAGGGACAGCGCCCAGGCCCAGAGTTCAAGCCCCATGACCGACCAAAAAACAAAAACAAAAATAAAATAAAAATAAACAAACAAAAAAAAAAACTAAAGGACAGCTACTCCAGCCCAGAGTTTAAATCCCAGTACCAGCATACACACACACACACACACACACACACAAACATGCATGGGGTGGGGTGGGTCCACTCTGTCCAGTTCTCTGCCCTTCTCTCCAGCAGGGACACCTGTCCACCATCCCAGCAGCCTGGACGTGAAGACATGGAAGCCAGGTGCTTGCAGTCCCGATGTGCGGATGTCTCAGGCGGGGCCTGAGCTGAGTCCTGGCTCTGTGTAGAGTTGGGAGCTGGCCTGGCCAGCCCCATCTCTGCCCCCTGAGGACTTGGGGGGTGTTTCTCCCAGGCTTCCACTGGAAGTGAGGTCCAGGTGGGAAGGCTCTGTGCCTCTCAGGAGCCATGTCTTTGGCTCAGAGTTCCAGTTCCTGCAGAGAGCTGTCCCCACGGGACCCAAGGTGTCCGAGCCCCACTTCATCCAGAGGATGGCGCCCGCCAGTACCAGCAAGATGGGCACCTTCACGAACACCAGGAGCATGTAATAGTTCCTGTGTGAGAGGCAAAGGCACCAAAACCTGCCACCATCAGACACCTCAGCCCAGCCCGAGACCCTGAGCCCCGAGTCCTACTCCCAAGCCACACCCGCCCCCCCCCCCCCTTGGTCGATGATCCTGCTGGTCTGTCTGAGGCCCATCTTCCTTCTTCTAATCTTACCTTCTATATGTCACCCCGTTCCCTCAGGCCCAAGAGAAGATCTGGGCTGTGTGGCTGTCCTGCCTCTGTTTCCCTACTGCCAGCCCCAGGTTGGTAAACCACCCTCCCTGCCTGGCAGCCCATGATGCCTTGCACCATGAAGATGGCTATCTTATTCTTCTTAGCAGCCCACAGACCATGGCCCTTTTTTAGGCAGACCAGTTGACCAGATAGGGGTGGTGATTTGTTAGAGAGGAGAAGATGGGCAGGAGGATAAGGCTGAAGTCGGGCCTGGGACCCTGGCTCTGGCTAAAACAAGCGCTGGCATCTGGTGGCAGGACACAGGCAGGAGCTCCTGCTTGGGTCCCCCATGGGGGCAGGGACAGGACCCCGGGACTCACCTCTTGTACAATTCAGATGACACCGTGGAATTGCTCTGTGCAGTTGGTCCAGCCAACATTTTGGAGGCCATGGTGCTTGCTCCCTCTGGGCACAGGCAGAGTTGGCCCTGGGTTATTAGATAGTCATACAGACTCACATTGCCACCCCTCACCCCGCCAGCCCTCTACAGAAGACCCGCCTTCCGTGGATCAGGGAGCTTTTGTCTCTTTGACTACTGTGCCCAGGCTCCAATTAGTTTCTTGTTGTTTTATTGAAGATAACAGACTCACAAGCTTTCCTGCCAGGCTAGCTTGAAGTTCCAACCATGATCCTCCTATCTCAGCCTCCAGAGTAGCTAGGATTACAGATGGGAGCCATAGCACCTGGCTACTAAGAAACTCTTGCTAGAGTGGCTCTTTCCAGACCCCACTTTACTCCTGTGTCTCTCTGGTTTGGATCCTGACAACACAGGAGCTTTTTGGAAAGCTGGCTGTGTGGCTCTGCATATGGCAGGGTGGAACGAGGGCTGAGGGTTGTGTCTTGGGCGCCAGCCACTGCAGAGGGAAGGCCTGAGAGCCCTGCGGTGGTTGCGGCAGGGCAGAGCAGGCAGGGCAGCCTGAGAGGTGAGCCGACGCCTTCCTTTCTCACGCACCTGCTCACTGTACCTCCCCAGGTCTCTCACCTGCCCCTGGCTCATCTTCTGCAACCAGAGAGAGCAGAAGCCACACACAGAGGAGAGATACTAGGCAGCACCAAGGATCGGACACTGAGGCCCTCTAGGCTAACCCAGTCCCTCACAACCCCACATGACAGGTTCTTAGAGTGAGTTCTAGAAAGTTCTGGCTGCTTCTAAGACTGCTGCCCTGAGACCCCATTCAGGCATCCAAGGCAGGCCCACCCAGGACTCCAGTGGGAGAACATGAAATGCCCCGGCTATGGAAGCCCAGAATGGTAGGGCTGGACCCTGGAGCACCCGGATGAAGTCCAGGCCCCACCCCTGCCCTGATACTTGTCATCTGCCATGCGTCCACTAGAAGAGATCGCAGGGATGATGGTGGTGACCGTAGAGGGGCTGGACTTCTGCTCTTACTTCTCTCTACCTCCCTCTTTGTCTGTCTGTCTGTCTGTCTACTTCCAGGGCTCTCCGTTATTTCCCTTTGGCCCTTGAGGAAGAAGAGGGAGGAATTTTCCATCCCGAATGCCAGTACCTCCTGGTATAGACGAGAATGTTCTTACCCGGGCCAATGATCACTTTAACGCGTGCCCCCAGGTCTGTTCCAAATCTCTGGATCCCACACCAGTACATGCCTGCGTCCTCACGCCCGAGCCTCTCCATGGTCACCTTGAATGAGTGGTTGCTCTGATCGTCCTTGATGGACACCCGCTCGTTCTTCTCTTCTTCCTCTGACCCCCTGGTTTGGATGAGGATCTGGCAGGTCCTCCAGCTTCTGCCACGACACCACCATTTATTATAAGCCTTCCATCTTGGGTCGTAGTGACACTGGACGGTCACTGACCCCTGCTCCCAGCCTCTCACTGATGCTGGGCCTTGAATGGCCAGACAGCCTGGAAAATATAATGTAAGGTAAGAGTTCCCACTGCCCTGGGCTGGGCCGATGTCCAGGGACTGGAGGAGAGGCCCAGGCACCCCAGTCACCCCAACACTGACTACTCCACCTCCCAGTGATTCTTGTCTTTCTCTCTCTTTCAGTCTTGGGTCAACATGTAGTGTGTTTGTATGTTTTGGGGTTTTTTGTTTTGTTTTGTTTTTGTCAGTCAAGGGGCTTGAACTCTGGGTTTGGGCACTATCCCTGCACTCTTCAGTCAAGGCGAACACTCTACTGCTTGAGCCACGGTGCCACTTCCAGTTTTCTGGTGGTTTATTGGAGATAAGAGTCTCACGGACTTTCCTGCCTGGGCTGGCTTTGAACCTCGATCCTCAGATCTCAGCCTCCTGAGAAGCTAGGATTACAGGCCTGAGCCACCGATGCCTGGCTTGTTGGTAAGTTTTTGACAAGCAGCTCTCTTTGGTTTGGGACAGCTGCCCATTTGTGTTGTGTAAATGCTGCCATCTGGTTGTTTTGACGTGATGTCGGTGGCCACAGAGAAGAGATGTTCGGGACGACTCAGTGAGTCAGCCAGTGCAAACACCCCAGGGGAGGCCCAGGACCTTTGTTCCTCCTCCTTCTCCACTTCCTGCCTCCTCTCTCCCTCCTCTTCTTCCTTCTCCTCTGCCTCTTCCTCCTCCTCAAGGCTGGTGCTCTACCACTTGAGTCACACCTCTATTTGTGGATCCTTGGTGATGAATTGGACTTAAGAGTCTCACGGACTTTCCTTCCCAGGCTGACCTCAAACTGTGATCCTCAGAACTCAACCTCCTGAGTAGCTAGGGTCAAAGGTGTGAGCCACCCACATCCAGTTCTCCCACCCTCTTCTTGTTCATTTTATATGACCCCACCGAGGGAGTCGCTCTGTGCCCCTCATTTCAATGATTGCCTACCTCCTGATGAGCCCCATGGCCACATTGGTAGCTCAAATTCTTCCTTCAGCTTCAGGCTACCATTTCTAGATCTACACCAGAAATGCACTACCTTTTCACCAAACCTACTCTGGTGTTTCCTCTGTCTAGTGGGGACAGAGCAACCAAGGCCCCACGGCAGCTGACAGGTTAGAGAGAGTGGAAGTTGATGCTGCTGGTCTGTTGAGTGACTACATTCAGATGGGACCTTTCCTTGCCGTGATTGCTCATTCCTTGGTCACGAAGAAGTAGACAAAGGTGTAGGGAACTACACTGGAAGTTTTTGCTTGCCTGTCTCATGTCCTCAGGCTTGGGCTGGGGTCTCTGTGCTGTGGAGCAGGTCTGTGGTGAATGGAATAATCCTCTGTGGATATTGATGTAGGAATAACCAGAATCAGGGAGTATTGTCCTCTTCCAGGGCAGAAGGGACTTTCCAGATCTAAATGAAGGTTTTGAGATAGAGATTGTTCTGCATAGTCCCGTGGATCACTGTCCTGAGCAGTCCCGTGGATCCTTACGAGTGAAAGAAGGTTGAAAGAGTTAGATTGAAGATGTTTCATCGCCAGCTTTGAAGATGGAGGAGGCCACGGCCAAGCAAAGCTGGGAAAAGCAAGGGGAAATATTGTCCCTTCGAGCCACCAGAAAGAACGCAATCTTGACTTCAGCCTGCTTACCATCCCAGTCTTCAACACAGTACGTTAATGAATTTGCACTGATCTAAGCTGCTGAGTTTGCAGTCATTTGCTATAGCAGCTGATGGAAACTAATGTAGTGCTGAAGCAGTGGAACCGACCTTGTGCCTTTTGACGAACAACTCCACTATAGAAGACTTACATCTCCATCCATCCTCTCCTCTCCTTCACCTTCCACAGCTGAGTGATTGAATGCCTTCTCAGAGCCGTGGGGACAGCACCGCAGAAGGGAAAGAGTGACGGCTCTGCACACAGAAGGACATGCCTCCCCCGGGTGTCATTGGGAAATCCTGAGAGTTGCTCAACCTCCCCGAGTCCTCTTACTTCCTCATTTGCAAGATGGTGACTCCATCCTCAGTCTCACATGGGCTGTTAGAAGGCTTGGACGCATGCCCATACCATCCTCTGGGAATGGCTTTGTCAGTGACAGTCCTTGTCTTGTACCCAGGTGGCAACAGTCGCAGTTGAGAAGTCTAGAGTGTCCTTGATCTCCCCGCATAGCTGCTGGAGTTAGACAGGAGACTGTCCACCTCGGCTGCCCCTCCCCCCCCCCCCCCCCGTGCACGCACGCGTGCGCACGCACACACACACGCACACACACACACACACATCTTTCTAGTCACCTCAAGCTCTAGCAGTGAGATCTGAATTCCTTCCATTTAGCATTGAGTTTCCTTGAAAGCTGGGTCTCATGTTACTCCCTGACCCTCTCTGCCCCTGTTTCTAGACTCTAAGTCATCTTTTTTTTTTTTTTTGTAGGTACAATAAATCTGATTGGTTTTTATTACATATCTTAGTTTAGAATCACTTTTACATTCCTAGACAAAGAGATGACACAAATAAATATCAATTGTAAAACTTAGAGCCCCAAGTATTGGCATATTCTTTATCTAAAGGTAGCCAAAGAGAAGGTCAAGATCAATAGTAACTCCAAGGAGCCATAGAGCCCACCACCTCCTGCCCAGGATCCTGCCCAGGATTGTTATTTTCCGAAATAACCTCAGAAGCATTTCATTCAAAAAACAAGGGCAAGGAGAGAGGTGCCAGGTTTTGAAACAATACAAGACAGAGCCTTGCATGGTAAGACAACTGCCAGATACCCTATTCTTATCTAGTTCTCTCCGAACACTTTAAGTATGGCTTTTAGAGTGTATTAATCGCCCCAGTCTCATCCACTGGTGATGTCAGGGTGGTCCACAGGGTTGTTGACAATACACCTGGACCTCAAGTGGGCAATGTGAGGTACAGTGATGTCCTGTGTTAACAGGGAGACTCTAAGTCATCTTTACTTTTCTCTTCCCCTGCCCCTGATGGGGTCTTCCAGAATTCTGTACTTCCTCCTCTCTAGAAAGCCCTCCTTTAACACCTGCCCTTCCCTTGGCCACCTTCTCCGTCTCCTCCAAAGCCCAGACTTTTGTTGCTGTTGTTTTTTGGTGGGGGTGGCTAGTCATCAACTCAGAGCCTAGGCCGGTCCTTAGCTTTTTTCTGCTCAAGGTTGTTGCTCTGGCTTCTTGGTCATTCGCTGGACATAAGAGATATTGCTGCTAGGCTGGCTTTGAATTATGATCCTCAGATCTCAGCCTCCTGAGTTAGATTACAGGTATGAACCACCAGTGTCCAGCTGCAGAGATTCTCTGCTTGTTTCCCTCTGTCTTCTTATACTCAGTCCTGGCATCTTGCTCTGTTTCTTATTCATGATACCAATGAAGTTATCCACAGTTTCTTGACAAGCAGCTTGTCATCGTGATCATGGCCATGAATGTTTCAAATCGAGGATAAGAGTCTCCACCCTGACCAACAGCGCAGTCCCATGTCATGGTAAACATTAGAAAACCCCAACTGTCACTAGCGGACTTGGGCTAATACTAAAGGGCACGCTTGGATGGTGTTAAACATGTTTGCAATGCCATTAGCTGATAAAAACAACTCAGAAAAAAAAATCTTAAACATAGATATAGGTGTCCATTAATAGAAGGGTTGCTAAGAGATAGACAGTCACTGTGTAAACCAGACCTGGGCACTGTCCCTGAGCTTTTTCACCCAAGGAAGGCTAGTGCTCCATTACTTGAACCACGGCTCCACTTCTAGCTATTTGATAGCTAACTTGAGATCAGAGTCTCCTAGGCTTTCCTGTCTGGGCTGCCTTCAAACCTTGAGTCTTAGATCTCAGCCTACTGAGGAGCTGGGATTACAGGCATGAGCCACCAGTTCCCAGCTCAGTTTTTCATTTTTTTGTGACTCTGAAAAACTGTACTCTGAAATTGAGTCAGTCCTTCGGGGAAGGTTGCCATATGTACAAAATTCTTGCATGAATGAGTCTCAATGACACCAAATGACACGCTCATTAGTGTGAGAGCATGTGTGTGTACATGTGCATGAGTGTGCATGTGAACAAATGTGTGACCCAGGAGGCATGGATGGGGTGTGACTGCAAGCGGCACGTGTGTTGTGCATGCGTTTGTGTGCATGAGCGAGAGTTTAAGCCCTGCCCAAGGCTTTCTGCTTCTCCTCTATGGGGGCTACCATGTTGGGATTAAGAAGGGGAGCAGCTGGGGGGGGGGGTCACTGAACTCAAATGCAAACTGGGGCCTGGGTGATGCAAAGATGCATTCCCAGCCTCACATCTAGCCAGTCCCCGGAAGCATCCTGCACACCAAGACCTCCTGCCATTGGTCCTTGCATGCATGTACATCTCACCTATTAGGCTGTCCAGGGCCATCTTCAATGGCCAGCCCTAGTTCTCTTTTCCTCCCATGTCCTGAGGGCCTGGTGCCTGCCTGCCATGATGGAGGACCCAGTGCCCTTTGGCCAAATGGTTCAACAGAGCCACCTGTCGCTTTCCTGGGTGACAGCCCTTCTTGAGTCAGGACACAGCCTCCACCTCTGCTCCCGCAGCACTAAGTCCCCAGGCCTGAGATGCACTTACCTGGGAGGCCCAAAAGAAGCAGTGCTGGTGGTAGCCACATGGTCCTGCTTGCCCCCTCTCCTTCCCGCACTGACCAACAGCGGGCAGCAAAGGCAGATCACAGCCAGACCCTGGAAGAACTGCTAGAACCCAGGCTTGTCTCTTCTTGCATGTCCTGGTCTCCCTTTTGAACTGCTTACTGGGTCACTTCCCTTTCTAGTGTGGATGTTTCCTGCTTTTAATTATTCAGCAAAAGAGACGTCAACTCTTGGCAGAGCTAGAGTGGAAGAGCGCCCTCCCAAGATAGGAAAGAGGAGGCACAGGAACTGCACAGGAAGGGAGGATGAGGGTAGGAGAGGCCTGGGGAGGCCAGGTGCTCACTGCCTTCTCTGGGAGAGGACCAAATTCCAGCCTTTTACCCCTATTGTCGACGCCCCTTGTCAGCAGGAAGTAGCCAGAGAGAATCCTCGCCCTATTTCATGATTATTAAAAGGCTGGAATGTAAGGTCTGCTCCTGGATGGCCAGCAGACTCCACCCTCCTCGCAGCAAAATCTTCACCCAGTACCTGTGTTACCTAGGCAACTGGGACACCTGGAAGAGGTCACATCTGCATCCTCTGAATTTGATGTGGCCACAACTTTCTCCGGCCCTACCCTAGATAAGGCCTAGCGCAGGCCCAGACGCTCTCTCGCTGCTCTTTTCTAGCTCTCTCTGCTCTCTCTCTGCTCTCGCTGCTCTTTTCTAGCTCTTTCCTCTCTTTCCCAGCTCTCTCTCATTCCCAGGCCTTTTCCAGCCAACCTTGCCTGGTCCCAGCAGGTCTACTGAATAAACCTACCCCTTACCTGAATACCACGTGAGTGCTGCTGTTCTTACTCGGATACTTCTTTTTAAAAACCTAACATAGCTGCAGACCAGTGTGAAGATGCCTGTTCTTGGGTGAGAATAGAACCCTGGATGCCAACTCCAGAAATGGATTTACCCTATAGTTCTAAGCCCCAGTAGCAGCAGGGATTCCCCAACTCAGGTGTCAGCTGGGCCATGCTGGGACACTTGGAGGTGCATTTAGGTGTTACGAGTCAGGTGCATAAGAAAGCAGACTATGGGATCAGAGAGATTTGGACCCTTAATCCACTTACAAGCTATGTACCTGTGAGACAATCTGCGTAAGCCTACCCCATGGGTCTCAACGTTTGAATCTACAAGTTGGGCCCATTATGATGGTGAGAAATGTCATCAGAAATGTGAATGTTATTCTCATTTAACACAAGAAAGCTATCGTGAAGTTCTGAGGACAAAGTGCTAGCTAGGTTAATGGAGTTAGCACCAACTTATATAAATAAAATACAAGAACTGCTGGGCACCGGTGGTTCATGCCTGTAATCCTAAACCACTCAGGAAGTTGATATCTGAGGATCATGGTTCAGAGACAACACATACAAGAAAGTATGTGAGACTCTTGTCTCCAATTTAAAACAAAACAACAACAACAAAAACAAAACAAGAAGCCAGAAGTGGAGCTCTGGCTCAAGTAGTAGAGTACTAGCCTTGAGCAAAAAATGCTTAGGGACAGCATCCAGACTCTGAGGTCAAGCCCAGGACACTCTGTCTCTCTCTCTTTCTTTCTCTCTCTCTCTCTCTCTCTCTCTCTCTCTCACACACACACACACACACACACACACAAATTGTTTTAGCCACTAGATGAAGAGGAAGACAGAATAGGCCCAAGAGCAGAGGGTTGAAAGGAGGTTGGTGTGCAGATTTTTCTCACTGGCACACCTAACCTTCACCTGACAAATTTTTTTTTGGTCCTGGGGCTTGAATTCTAGGCCTAGGCACTGACCCTGAGCTTCTTTTGCTCAAGGGTGAGTACTCCACCAATTGAGCCATGCACCACTTCCAGTTTTTTTTTTCTTTTGAGTAGTTTTATTGGAGCAAAGAGCTTCACAGACAGTCTCCTATCTGGACTAACTTTGAACCATGATCCTCAGATCTCAGACTCCTGAGAAGCTAGGATTACAGGTGTGAGCCACTCGCTCCGGACTCACCTGACAATTTAATTAATACATCCATTCATAACCCAACAGCTGACTGTTTTGGGAAGTGAGTGAAGGTATTTTATTTTCCCAGATCTTCAGAGTCACCAAGAAGGAAAGGTTAGTCCCTGGACATCTGTGGTGGTGGTAGCTCAGGATCCTGGCAGGGGAGTCAAGAGGAGAAGGTTTTTTCTAGGCTGGTTATGGCTTGGGGGTGCCTATAAAAGAGCTGGGATCAGCAATGATAACAAAAGATACAAATTTCAAAAGAAATCCCAGCAGGAAACTAAAATATCATGCCTCTGCCCCTTCCTAGACCTTTCTGGTTCCTTGAAATGTAATAAAAATCCCAAAATTTCAGTGGCAGGAATCTGCAGAAGAAACTTGGTTAGGAATTAACTAATCAGGACCTTAACACCCCCTACCACCTAAAAAAAAAAAGTCATCCTCTAGCCAGGTGCCAGTGGCCCACATCTGTAATACTAGCTACTCAGAAAACGAAGTGCTGAGGATTGTGCTTCAAAGTCAGCCTTGACAAAAAAGTTCATAGGACTCTTATCTCCAATTAACAAGCAAAAAGCCAGAAGTGGAGTTGTGGCCTTGAACAAAAAGAAGATCAGGGACAGCACCTAGGCCCTGAGTTCAAGGTTCAGGACCAACACAGACACAGACACAGACACACACACACACACACACACATACCCGCTAAACACCTAATATAATAAGGGTAAGCAACTAGGGCCTAGTCTAGGATTTAAAACCTCTAGAGCCAGTCACCTGAGAAGGGGGCAGCAGTGTCCTTCAATCAAGACACTTCCTTTCTCAATAAAGTTCTCACTCTCTTTGTAGGTTTTGTCCACTGATTCCTGGAACAAGAACTGGAGAGAACAATGGTGGCAGCAGCCAGCGGTTAAAGTGCAACACTAGCAGACATTGCCTGATGCTGAGCTGCAACACTAGCAAGTGTTGTCTGCTGATGAGCTCTAACACTGGCAGGCACTGCCTATACTTGAGCTACAACCCTAGCAGGCATTGCCCATAATTGAGCTATAATACTGGTGGGTGTTTCCTGCTACTGAGCTGTAATCCTAATGGTCTTGCTGGCTGTAGAGCCAGAAGGGCTGTAATTGGAATGGATTCTGCCCATCAAGGGCAACAGGAAAAATTTGTATCAATAGCAAGATAGAAACGATTGGTGTAGAGGCTTGCATGTCTTCAGAGAAGATTATCTATGTGAATCCTTATAAACAAGTATCTCAGACTAAGTCAATAATTTGGGGTAGTAAGTCGAGTAGATGGAAGTACCAGAGGGCATCCAGAGAAGAAATTGGTCTTGTGGATTGTCACTCATGTTTCCAAAGCCTCAGTGTTCAATCTGGTCCCACACTCAAAATCAGCAGACTTCTTTTGAGATGAGTAAAAGAAGTAAATATTGACTCATTAGAGTCATGTTGGGATAGCTGTACCTGATGCCAACTGTGTCTTTTTTTTTTTTTTGGTCGTGGGGCCTGAACTCTGGGCCTGGGCGCTGTCCCTCAGCTCTTCAGCTCAAGGCGAGCACTCTACCACTGAGTCACCTTCCCAGCCCATCTGACTGTGTCTTTGATATAGGGGCTAAGGATGATTTAAGCATGTATCTGTTTGATATGGAAGGTAGCTTTCCCAGATCAGAAGATGCAAAGCTTAGATTTAAAGGAATTGACAGACGGGTGCCAGTGGCTCATGCCTGTAATCCTAGCTAGTCAGGAGGCTGATATCTGAGAATCACAGTTGAAAGCCAGCCCAGGCAAGAAAGTCCGTGAGACTCTTATCTCCAATTAACCACCAGAAAAACAGAAGTGGCGCTGTGGCTCAAGCTGAAGAGCTCAGAGACAGTACCCAGGCTCAGAGTTCAAGCCCCATGACTGACAAAACACACACACACACACACACACACACACAAACACACACAAAACCTGTCAGACTCTCGAGTGAGAATCGTAGCTGAGCCAGACAGATACCATGTGGTATCTATCACCTTTTACAGGGGCAGATAATGGGTTACAATCATTGCTAAAATAATTGTATTGAAGGACAGAGGTTCTCTGATAATGAAGATGAGTGAGCAAACCTTTATGAATTTCATGAATAGAGGCCAGGGGGCATTCATTGTATTTCATTGATTGTACATGGAAAGCTTCTACTGCAGAAGGGACCAAGGCCAGGTGAGGAGAATTACTCACCCAGAAGATGAGGCCTACGAGTAATGGTCTGGATCAGATGGATGGTTGAGTGCTGTGATGCAGAGAAATGCACGTGTGTGAAAGATGCTCTTCTACTTTCAGTGGATTGCAGAGATTGACTCTCTGTTATGTGATGTCATGACCAATATGGTGACTCATGAAGCAAATCCAGAAGCATGGCCTCTGCCTCAAGTGGAGGAGCAGCTTGTGTCAGGAAAGCTGACGGAGCTTCACTCAGCAGTCTGTGCTGCTGCTAGTACCAAAGCGTGGCTGTGAGACACAAGTGTAGCTTGAATGGCAGGATTGGGGGTGGGGCAGTTAATTACTGCTAACTTTGCTAACTTCGGGGTGTATTTGCACAGATGCAGAAATTATGGAAGGCTTATGCCTGTAATCCTAGCAACTAAGGAGGCTGAGATCTGAGGGTCTCGGTTCAAAGCCAGCCCGGGCAGGAAAATCTGTGAGACTCTTATCTTCAATTAACCACCAGAAAACTGAAAGTGGCACTGTGGTTCAAGTGGTAGAGCACTTGCCTTGAGGTGAGGAGCTGAGGGACAGTGCCCAGGCCCAGAGTTCAAGCCCCACAACCAAAAAGAAAAAAAAAAAAGGAATTATGGAAAGCCAGGAGATGGGATCCCACATCTGTGCTCCCATAGGAACTATTTATTTGTTTCCTACAGATTTTTTGTTTTGTTTTATTTCATTTGCTTTTCCTTTTTTTTGTTTGTTTGGTGGTGGTGGTGGTGGTGGTACTGGGGTTTGAGCTCAGGACCTTGTACTTGCTGGTGCAGGCCCTCTACCACTTCAGCCTCACCTCTAGTCTATCCTTCTACTTAGGAGGCTGAGAGCTGAGGATCACAGTTTGAAGCCAGCCAGGGAAGGAAAGTCCATGAGACTCTAATAAACTAC